ATCACAGTTTTACTCAGTACAGATAGGAATTCTGTTTTCAGATAAAATCTAAAACAGGAATAGGAATACATGAATAATAAGTATATGCAGCTGCACTACTGAAGATATTTATGAAATTGTTTTTATTCGTGCTTTATTAGACTGATTTACTAAGCCTTCAGGTTCATAGAACATTATTGGATTGTAGCTTATACAATGTACTGTCATTCAGGAATGTTAATAATTTGTTGCTAAGCTTTCTTCTCTCTTAGAAATCAGTAATCTCTTTCAAACTCTGATTATCTTAATAATATTCTTGTTTATCTTTAATGATAATACATCAGTTTTATTTGTTCTTAAGAAGAGTTAGGTGTCGACATACTGTTTTTCAGATCAGTCTTTCTTCCTAAACTAGCAAAGATCTGAATGATTAAGATCCCTTGGTGTGTTTAATACACTTTAAGTTAGTCCATTCTTTTTTTCTTTAGAGTAGAAAAAAAATACAGCCATGTGATAAAGTTCTGTCTGTTCCATAGCCAGGTGATGCACACAGCACAGCTTTAGCAGCAGTTACAAACTCAAATGAAAATATTTTTTCATCATTTTTTTTTCAAAAAAACACCAAACCCTAGGTATCTAGTCAATCACATCCAAAATCTCGAAGGTGATACAGCTCATGTGCTGAGGACTTGTAGGTTCCATGGATGCCTGCAGAACTGTCAGGTCCTCTACAAACTTCTGTCATGTCTACAGATTTCCTCACCAATGGATTCTGTTTCTTGTTTTCTTTACAATTATGAAAATAGAAGGTGGAATTAGGTTGAAGAAACTTTTCTGGTGGGAAAAATGTGTAAAACATGGGTTTAAAATTTTAAAATGTATGGATGAATGGGACATAAGTCTTGAAGTTCGATTATAGAATGAAAAATATTTTTAAGTTAATTTTTTTTTGTTTTGTTTTGTTTTGTTTTGTTTTTCTTTCCAAAACGAAATATTTGGGTGTCCATGTTCTTCTGAATTACTCCTAACACTACAGCTAAACTCCAGTGTTTGTTAAATAGGCCAACAATGGGAACTAACAGAAATCTAGTGCAAGCAGATGCTTAGTAAAGATAGATTTTAGCTTCAGGTTCTCTGGAGGTTAATACAGATAGTGAAATATGATTAAGCAAAAGAGGTTTATTTAGTTCATTTTTAAAATAGTAGAAAGAGTGACTCACATCAGAAAGTTCAAATACATGAAAGGCTGCTTCAGACGGGAAATGAATAATTGGTTCCCTTTACCAGTAGCAGGTAAATAAAAAGTTACAGTCTTAAGTTCTAATAAAAAGGATTCAGCTCTAAAGGAAACTTCACGTCAGTGGGATAGCAAAGCGCTGTACTAGAGAGGGAAATGGTGGAACCTATTGCCTTCCAGCTGTGTTTTTCTGTGGTTTCCTGAGAGATACCATGGATCTCGTTTTGCAGCAGGACAAGAAAGTCCTGCCCAAAAACTTGACTTGAAGTAGCAGTATTTTATCTTCTTGAATTGTAGAAAGGAATGAAACCTATCACTTATTTGGAGTCTGTGCAAAGGGTCCCGTTGGCATCCAGGACACTGCATGTTAGATGGATCTGCTTCACTATTTCTTTGTTCCAAGAGCAAAGATTTCCTCAGGATGAGGCTTGCCAAGACACTGTCATTGCTGAAGTACCTTAAAGGCAGACTAAGTCTAATTTCAGTAGAGGCGAGGGGAAAATTTTTCTGTGTGTAATTTATTTTACAGCTTTCCTCAGAAGTACAAGACCAAGAGAATTTTTTTTTTCCTCTCATTCTCCTTCTCATACTGTTTCTTTTCCTTTTTGCTGTTTTGCCCACCTATATATTCTGGGCTTTAATTTAAGCTTCTCCTCTATAGTTCACAGTATTTGGGCTATGAATAATAAAATCAAAGGTGTATATTTCAGATATCTGATAGTCTGAGCCAAGGTCCTTCAAAAGTTTTTATTCTTCTTGCAGAAAACTGCAGAACCAGATTTTCTGTCTTTTTTCTTGTTTCATAATCCTTTCTCATAAGGACAGACTAAAGAATTTTGTAACACTAAATTCTAATAGCTCTCAAACATTCGCCAGTCTGAGGTCAATTTGTCTGAATTTTCAAAAAGAAACTTATTTTCAGAGTGTCATCTGACTTGCCAGTATGTTGGCTGTGTCTTCTAGGCTATTTTGAAGGCTGAGGGAAGACCCAGGTGGTCTTACTTCCTTTGTTCAATGATTGGGGGTGGCTTTCAGGCATCCTGTACTTACCTTGCATGTAAGACTTTTAGATAGAGAAAAGCTATACTGTCCTCTCCTGCTGTTTCTGAGCCAACTCTCTTTTCCTTTTCTGCCAAGTGTGTCTGCAGTAGCACTCTGCTAGATTCCTGTTTCTTCTCCCTGTTCCACTTCTCCCATGAGCAGTAGTCCCCAAGATATGTTTTCTGTCTCTGTATTAATAGCTTTTCTAATTGAGATACCTGAAGGTTTAACTTCTGGCAAGTTTTCTTACTTGCAACCCCATACTTCTGACTTCTTCAGTTATGTTGCAGTGAGGATGGTTTTGTGTGGTGATAGGTGACCTCCCAAGCTTACCAAGCAATTTTGTCTGCCCTTATCTCCTGAGAGCGTCTTAAAGAGCCCTGGTCTGTGTCTGCATACCAAATTCTTGTGGAGAAGGTAGCAAGAAGGTGGCACCATTTTACATAACTGTGACATGCTACTCAGAACTATTTTTCTTCCCTTACTATTTGTTTTGCTATCATTGACTTGAGAAGATGAATATAAAATAACCCCATTATTAAATGTACTCATTCTAAATATTGATGCAAAGAGACTCTACATACTATGCTGAAATCAGTCCACTCTGTGTCATTTATTTCTTAGTTCCATGGTCTTGTTCCTATCTAGTACATTGCTCTTGCCAACATTCAGGCTCTGTCTGGCCTTTCAGAGCTATCTTCCAATAATGTAGGGAAGAACAGGCTTCATCTGCAAAGTGGCACATAAACAAAGTTATTTGTGTAATTACCCAAATCTTGCACATACTTAATGTACACAAGCTCTCCCTTAAAACTGAGAAGTGTGAGAAGATATGAATATGTAAAGTTGTATGTAGGTACTGATTGTAGCAATTCATTTATATTGTAAATAAGAGCATTTTCCCATCTAGTAAACAAAATTTCCTTATTCTGAATGGTTCCTATATATAGAGATGGTGTGAAGGTGAAAGACTTTAGTCTGGGTCTTAATCCTGTCTATACCTCCCTGTCCTGTTGTATTTCCCTGTTTTGTGGAGCTCACAAACAGATTGTGGGTTTGATCCCTGTGGGTCATTCACTTAAGAGTTGGATTTGATGATCCCTGTGGGTCCCTTCCAACTCAGAGTATTCTGTGATTTTGTGAGTCTCTGGTTGTTGAGTTTGTGTGTGAACTGCACAGGTAAATGTGTGTTTAAGGTGAACATGATTAAATTAGAAATATCTGAACTTACAACCTGAAGATTTCCACAATCTTTAATTTCAGTTTGATCTTTTACTTACACTGAGCCTATGTTCACCTATAAAGCACATTCGGTGTTAGTAAAGTGAACCTTAACAATAAGTTAATTTGACATGATCATGTTCACTGTGTTCGTAGAAGGGGAGTGCACCACAACTTTGGTTAACCTGCTGCAAAACTAAAATGGTGGACTCAGCAAGATAAATTTAAAAGTGAAAATAGATACATAGGTTGGTGTTAGGCTGCATATAAACAGTGTATATAGAAACAGGTGAAAACTCAGAAGTGTTGCATGAGGCAGAGAGAGCCCACAAAACACTGTAAGGTGTGGTGGGTGGATACTGTTCATTAATGTAATGATTCAGAATCTGTGAATTGTGATGTGATATGTTTGAAATAGGTGGCTGAATCAATTTGGATTTGAGTCTTTTTTGTTAAAGAACAGAAGATCAGATTTATGTGGTTACAAATATTTTGTTACTGGGGGGAGTGAAACTGCAGCAATACATTTTAACTGGGTCTTGTATATTGGCAATATATGTACCTTTCATTCTAGTGAGCACTTCCAGCCCTCAAAGGAAAAGACATTTTTAAAGCTGTATCAGTGTCCTCACTTCCTCAAAAGTCTTTCACTGTTTTCTGCATAGTCTTGATTTTGAGAATACATAGAAACCTGACAGCTGCAGCTGCTTGTTTCTGAAACATTGTCTCAAGAGGACAGCAGGTTTCAGAGGGCTTGTCCAAGGGTTCTTAAGATAGTGGCTTTAACCATAAAGCTTTCAATAATTTGGACCTCACACTTCTACACAATTAAGAGCATAAGCAGTTGGCATTAAATCCATCTTGATTTCAAAAGGCAGTTCCTCTTATCAGAGAGTTTTCTCTAAGTGAAGGCAGACTCTGCTACTTCATTATCTCCTGGACACCTGCTTTGCCTATAAGTATGTGATTTTGATATTCTTCTCAGAAAGCGGAATGTCTCCCTACCCTCTCTTTCATGTGCTTTGAGAGACAATAACAATTTAGTGTAAATTTGTGAGCTATGTGTATTTATTATTGTAGATGGTGAATATTATTATGTGCCCTGTGGGCAGTCAATTGTATGTGGCATATATTGTAGATTTATATCTTGTCTGCCTAAAACACTACTTGAAATGCCTAGAGACAGGGTTAGCTGCTTAAGTTTTAGCTTCAAATAAATAAATAAATACATTAAATAAATAATTGAAACAGGCAGTTTCAGATAATAAAGAGAGATGGCTTCTGGGTAGAAAATTCTGTAAGTCTTAGAGCAACATAATCTTTAATAAAGAAGGTGAAATAAAATTCCCAAAGAATTTCTTAACTGCAGATAAAATAAATTAAAACAACCAAGCACCCAAACTAGCAGGACATATACTTGGTGAATTAGAATCTTCTTTATGTATGGTATACAACTAATTACTAGGGAGCATTTTATTTACCTCTAATTTCTATTTAATAGCCACTGCACTTGTCATTGCAGGTATGGTTACAAAAGTATGGCTACCTTCCACCAACTGACCCCCGAATGTCGGTGTTGCGCTCTGCAGAAACCATGCAATCAGCTATAGCTGCCATGCAGCAGTTCTATGGCATTAATATGACAGGAAAAGTGGACAGGAACACAATTGAGTAAGTAACCAGTACTGAACTGCTCTTGCCTTTTCTGTTTCAAGCAGGGTAAAATAGAATGGGGAAGCAGCCGTGTAACCGGAGTATCCAAATAGTGTTGCAGCTTCAGATGGGGACGTAAATTGTTTCTCTCTTCCTTGCCTTTTCATTTTCTTCAGCTTTTTTATTTCATGGTAGCAGGTCATCACCTGCCTAACTGACGTCTGCCTTTGGGCAAGTGATTGTAAACAAGATATTGCACGGTTACCTAAAGTAAGGGCCAAAAAGTTATAATTGTGGAAAGGAGAAAACATGTTTGAAACTAGCAAGAATCCATGAAATGTATCACAGTTGAAGGAGTCTTGTTTTACTGGAAAATCTTTAGTGTAAATTTCTTTATTCTTATTTATTAAATTTAGCAGACTCCACTGGCCCATTTGTTTAGTGGTTTCTAGTAACAAAAAACCAGGTGTTGTTATGGTTGAACTGATGGGGGCTCCCGGGACAAGTGAAGAGATCTGAATCTTGACTCCATGTTTCAGAAGGCTGATTTATTATATTATGATATATATTATATTAAAATTATATACTAAAACTATACTAAAAATAATAGAGATAAAAGGATCCTTCAGAATGCTAGAAAGAACATCAGAGGAATGAGGGATGATAACAAAAGCTCTGACTTCCAGAGAGTCCGAGCCAGCTACATCTTTGATTGGTTATTAAGTAGAAGCAACTCACATGAACCAATCTAAGGTGCACCTCTTGGTAAACAATGTCCAGACCACATTCCACAGCCATCAGATAGTTATTGTTTACATTTCTTTTCTGAGGCTTCTCAGCTAGAATAGGAGAAAAATCCTAGCAAAGGATTTTTCATAAAATATTATGGCTACATGTGGTGATTTTAACATGCAGTAAAATTGAATTAGTTTTGCATGCCCTTTGCGATTCTGAAGTTGTTTCAGGCTCTCTGTGCCAGATTTTGGTGACAGAATAGACACAGAGAAACTCTGTAAAACAGAAATATTACAGGACACTTTCAAACAACTCTATACCATGCCAAATTTTAAAAATGTGCCCAAAAAAATAAAATAATGGGGACTATTAATACTCAATTAAGAGAACATATCTGGGATTAAGACAACAGGACCAGGGCAGTAATCATGCCCCTGTACTTCACATTGGTGGGGCCTATCCTCAAATTCCCCATTCTGTTTTGGGACCTTTACTGCAAGAAGACATTGAGGTACTGGAGAATGTCCAGAGGAGGGAAACATAGCTGGGAAAGGTCTGAAGCACGAGTCCTGTGAGGAGCAGCTGTGGGAATTGTGCCTGTTTAACCTAAAAAAAGGAGTCTCAGGGATACCTTATCACTGTCTACAACTACCTGAAAGGAGGTTGTAGCCAGGCAGGGGTCAGCCCCTTCTCCCAGGTAGTAAGTGACAGGACAAGGCTCAAGTTGCACCGGGGAAGGTTTAGATGGATATTAGGAAACAGTTCTTCACCTAAAGCATTGCAAAGCACTGGAACAGGCTGCCCAGGGAAGCACTTAGGGACATAGTTTTATGGTGAGTTGCCATGATAATGGTTGGAATCAATGATTGTAGAGGTCTTTTCAAACTTAAACTATTCTCTGAGTCTTTGATTTGGAGTGCTTGTTGGACTCACTTCAGTTAAATTGTGATAAAGATTATCTTGTGATTTCAGAAAAAGTTACTTTACTTGAAAAGCAAGCAATAACTCAGTAGTGCTGTCACTGGATATCCAACATTTGCTTCAGTGAAATATGCTTCTACTGCTAATTTTAATAAATTTAAAAAATAAATTTTAAAATTGATTTTTAATAAAATGCTAATTTGGGGTGGGGTGGGGAGGAATTGTCTTTCATTTCCCATTTACCACCCCCAACCTGATGTGCCATCTTTTGTTATGGTAAAGTAGCTGACATTAATGATTTTTCTATCATTTAGAGTTTAGGGAAGAGACTACACAAAATGCTGGCAGGATTGGAAAAATCATTTTATTCCACTGACACATACTCTATTGCATTGAAAAGCAATAAAACAAAGCAGATTTTTGTGGCTGCCCTCAGGGGAGGCGAGTTGATCACACATCCCTCAGTTTAGGAATGTAAAGGACCTTAGACCAGGCAGTGCAGTAGCAGTAAATGCCTTGTAAGAGAGCCATGCTCAAAAGTATGTTTATGGTCCTCTGCAGGTGAAGAGTCTGTGCTCTTCATACAGCTTCAGTGACTGATCTTTGAGCAGAGTGCTGCCAGTAACTAGGACCCTTTTCAAGACACGTTAGAATCAGCTTTGTCAGAGACAATATATTTCACTAAAAGTAATATAGTCTGTTCACAGCAGCACAGAAGAGACAGAAAGAGGTAACCTGAGGGAAATCAGAGGCCATCTTAATTTAGAGTATTTGCTGCAGAATTCAAAAAAACAAACCAACCTAAAATTCTAAACTCAAATGGAGATGGTTAATGTTGCTAATTTGGCATTTTGGCCAGCAAGATTTTCTTCACTTCTGCAATTTAAGAGATGAAGAAATCCATCAATGCAGCAATCCAAAATATTAATCTTATAATGTGGTGAATATTGAGTTTTTGAGATCTTTCGATGCATGATTTTCTTCTACAGAGGAGATACATTAATATATTGAAATTTTTAGGTACATGTAACTCAGGCTGGATGAATGCTGCATTTACTTTGATAGCTGGAGTCACACCAACTTGAGTCAAGTTAGGAACAGAACTGACTCTTAAAGGCTTGTCACACTTACATTAGTGTTGAAAAAGAAAAACAACAAACACCTGATTTTTTAACTAAATTCTGGTCTCAAAGTACCATCAGTTCACATCACTGGATGTTCATGGGAGATATGACTGCATAATAAAGGGTAGATGTTTTTCAGTTGTTCATTTGTGGCATAATTTTGTAAATTTTTGAAGTTATTTTCCCTTTCATCTACACAGGAAGTATATATACTCTTTAGGTCAGACATATATGACAGTTTGTAATTTGTTTCTCTAGGATTAATATGCTGTAGTAACTAACAATGCTGGTGTTGCAAATAATAAATAAAGCAGGAACCTCATAAAAAAAATATGTTTTCATCTTGTGCGAGAGGATTTACCTTCTTCTTTGACACATCTTGAGAAGAGATTATGATGTGCTTCTTTGTCTTCAGAAGGACAAGCAATTTTAAAACTTATAGTAGCAACTTTATAGGAACTAACTTTGGGGAATTAACAAAGAAATAATGTCCTACAGCAGCAGCACCACTATCAAATGTCTCCTGGTGGGATTTTGCTACTCTGAAAAAAAAATAATCCCTCAATGAATATTTTGGTATGCATAAATTCAGCCTCTCCCTACTACTCAGCATTCACTTGGTTTTGCTTTTTTTTTTTTTTTTTTTTTTTTTTTTCTCAAGTGTCTTGGAAAGAATGATACATACTTATTGCTGGGGTAGGGAAGAGTGAGTGGTAGGATGAGACATCCTTATAGTGGTGTAAATGCGTGAGGAAGGTTCTGAATACAAGTACCATGAGAATGGCTAACCCAAAGAAAATACTGTCTAATGTTTGCATGGAGTGCCACGGTATTTTCTGTATTTCATTTATATATTACCAAACAGTCAATGTTTAATGAAAAAAGACATTTCTGAAACTGGACCCACTGTTGGCATTCCTGGTCTTCTGCATCCCTAAAAGAAACATTGTAGAAAAACACTGGTTGTTTTTTCTTAAAACTGCTATACATGTTTATTCCCAAGACTTGTTTTGCACTTTTGAGGAGTACCCTGCAAATTTCTTGATATAAAAATGGAATAATCTGTATAGGATGCTGACTAAATCTGTGCAATAACAACAAAACTTTCATTTTATTCCAATGTCATCCTTTAGAAATAAATGGCAAATATGCTTGTGTCAATGCTTAGATGAGCTTCTAACCAAGTTAATGCTCTCTGCTATTTATATATTAACTATCAGTCACAAAGTAAATTCTGAGCTGTTGGAATTGATCCAGTGATTTATTTTCTTAGTAAATTAGTAATTTTTTTGTACGAAAGTATACATAACGTCTGTACCCCCAGTAAATATCCAATGAGAAGTCTTAAAAAAGGAATCATCAGGGCTGAAATACAATACCTTACATCACTCTTTGACTGTTTCCCATTACTTAGCAAGTGTCAATAAAGTCTTATAATAGCAGGCTACATAAGCAAAGATGCTTAGAAAGACATCCATAGGCATGTCTTCTCCTCACTAGAAGTTTAAGGGTATAATTCAGTAGTTTTCTTAAATAGACATCTATAATTTTTCCACCCACTAAGTTGCAGTATCTCAAGCTCAACCTTCTCTTTTATTTTCCTTTTTGCTGTAACTCTGTCCCAAATAACCCCCAAAGCCCAGCAACAACAGAACAATTGTGCAACCTTAGCAGCAATTTTGATAAGGAATAAAGCAGTTTCAGTTCAACCAAATTTACAGTTTTTAATGTTTTGATTCTGTGAGGGTAAATTTTTTCTTGAAGGCTTAAGAAAAATAAGAGACAGAAAGAGATTTTTCCTCCTAGAAAACAAAGAACAAAATATGGTTAGGCAACTGGCTTGATACAGAAGTTCAGTTTCATCTCTCTACTGGAAAAGCATCACAGTTTTGCTGCATATTTTTCTTTTAATCTTTCTAGATTTGCTATGAGTCTAAAATATTTAAATTTTCTTGACATATATAGCTCCTCAAGATTCAAACTAATGGAGTTAGAAGAGGAATGTGATGTGACACAGTGTACAGATAGAGAACATTAGTCACAATTAAGCCTCTTTATTGAGTACTTATAAAATATTAATTTTGAAGGGCTGCTGCAGGAAAGATTTCTCAAAGTTCAAAAACAGTGATGAAAGAGAGGCAAAGTCATTACTTGTATGCACCTTTTAAAAATGAAGCATATTTCCAAACATTGCAAAAACATGTCAAAAAATTAAACTCTAACAAACAATCAGGAACATGGAAGACCTTGATCATATTACATTAGAAGAATCTATATTTGGAAGAACACAGAAATCAATGTTTTATTTGTCAATTTCCCCAGGAGAAGACCATATTATGTGCTAAGTATTTGGAATGTCATGAACATTAATGATTATTACTAAGAGAAGTCTTCCTCCCAGTGTGTGTCAGAACAGTTACTGTTGAAAAATATTAAAATATTATAGAAATCAAAGGAAAATTTTGTGTCTGAAGTTGTTAACATTTTGCCTCATTTCTGTTCTTGAAAATACTGAGCTCCCATACTAGTCGTGCACTAGTTTGTTTAAAATTCAACATCTACACTTAGTTCAGCTAAGATCTAGGTGATAGATTTGGTGATGTTCTAAATCTTCGGCTGTGAATTGCATCTTTCCTTAAATTTTACATGAAGATAATTTCCCAAAAGCTATTCAACCATGCCTGCAGTGACTTCCATTTGATTTATATTTGGATTTATGTTGTGTGAACTACAGTCCCAGACCTCATGTAACAATAGTAAGAACATTAGTGGTCCAGACAGTATGACAACTTGGAACATCCCCTCTCTGTCCAAGCCAATAGGGATACAAGCATGATGTCCTTGATAGGTACATACTACTCCAAAATCAGTGCAAGAAAAAATTGTGACTGCTTGAATTTCATAACGTGTTATTTTGGGCCATGTTTTGTTTTCTTAAAAAAGGATTTTAAGTAGTTCTAGTAAGATAATACAATGTTGACTTTGGAAACTACGTTACCTACTGTTCTTGACTTTTAGTATTAGTTCTGAAGTGTGAAAAAAATTTTACATTAACAAGATTTTCTGTAAGATTATTGAATCTTTTGACTTGAGAAATTATTTCAATAGCTTTCAAGATTAATTTTTAAATTCAGAACTTAGAATATTTACTCTTATCTGCCCCTAGCTTGCTAGTGACCAAATCCTGTTATTAAAATAGGTCTCCATCAGTTAAGCTAAATAATGTAAACTTTTTGGAGAGAGGAAGGACTAATTCAATTACTTTTAAGTCATTGCCCTTGAAATTATACAACCATGAGTGATATATTATATATATGTATTTTATGCAATATCTTTGTGAAGTGTTTCTAACAAAATATAATAGTTATTTGGTTTTGCTTTATTCCTTGCTCCTTGCTCTTGATGTAGGGATGTTACCTTGAGGTGAGAACACCAATCTTTTTTGTTTGCATCTTTTTCTGCAATGTCTGTGTGCAGTTTCAACAACATAATTAATATACACCATTATTAAAAAGTATTACTGACAATGTGGCTAAAAGTTTTAGAAGGTCTGAGATAATTTCAATCTCATGAAGTGTAAACATATCATTTTAATAAGAAGAATATTACTGCCCTTTGTTCTGTAACAGAACTCTACTTCTTTCCTTCATTTTCTTTCATTATTAGAACAAATTAAACTTTTCAGTAATATTCCATCCCAAAAATCCCTACAAATAGAAATTTGTTGAATTTCTATTTTATTTCAAAAACCAAAGGAAGCTGAAGTAAAGTTGCAGGGTGTTTCAGCAAATGCTGGTGTGGTAAGGTTTTTTAGATTTTTGCAGTACAGTCTTTGCAGGCTCTAGGGAAAGAACATTGTTTTCCTTGCACATAAGCTGTTTTATGTGCCATGCATAAGTATTCTGACTAGAAATTAGAACAAATCATTCTATGTCTCTTATTTCAAACAGGTGATTGCGAACTTGATGTCTTCAATTACGGCAGTTAAATTAATGAGTTTTTAGTTCCTGACCTGTACTACTCAATAGATTTGTCTCACATCAGAGTTTTTGCAGGCTGTTATCAGTGCAGGTGGGGTGCAGTGCCATTTTGGTACTATCAAGAAAATTTTGTACTTTCCCACAGGCTGATGAGCTTAACACGTACTTGTGCCTTTGAAAAACAGTTTGCTATATACCCATAGCTACTGCATATATGAAGTGTTACAAATATAACTGTATTTTTAAACCACTTCTTAAACATTTATCAAAGTAAGTGAAGCTGATGACTGACTGCTTTTTCAGAGTTTTTTTATTACCTGTGCAGAATCCGCTTTCTGAGATGACATTTGAAATTACTTTCCTGTCATCCAATCACACACATATACAGCTGCTGTGTGTACATTTATTTACAAAACAATGCCAGTTTAATGGTCAGAAATTCATCCATGAAAGCCTGAATATAGGGTATGACTACTCTTCTGTTAAATGTCATTGGAAAACTACAGCTTTTACACAGGTAATTGTTTGGCACGATAGAAATACAATGAGCTGGGAAAAATAACAAAAGAGACTTGTATTTTACTTGTGTGGTAAAACACTTTAGCCTTACTCTCTTCCTGATGGTAAATTGTCCTGCAGCCATTCAATTCATGGAAAATAAAGACTTTATCTGTGTTTTCTTTGAACTGAATAGTGCCTTACGCTACAAGTGAGAAACAGTTCAAGGATATTGCTGTGGAAATTATACTTTTGAATTAGATATCATCTTAATTATAATATGTTTAAAATGCTGGCAAGTTTAAATTTTTTGAAATATTGGAAAACAATGAAATATTGAAGAGCATTGTGGAAATACAGCCTTTCTCTGGGAAATCTGGTGCTGCTGCAATGATCATTTTTATTGTATGTGATTTAAATTTTTCAGCTTGATTTTGTGCAGAATGTTAAATATTCTCAAGCAATAATTCCTGAGTTAAATATGTCCATTAGGAGCTTACAGGTGCAATGACATACTTCTCATTGTGTGGAAAAAGAGTAGGATAGAAGAACTTGGTAGTATCAAAAAGGTAGCAATTTCAGGATCTTGAATTAAAAGAACTCCAACAGTCTGTTGTGTTTATTAGTTTATATGTTTTCTATAAAATTATATATACAGATAATTACATGTTTTTATTAGGGCTGCAGTGGCCGTGATTTTTCTTCCATGTTGCTTTAACTGTGTGGTGCTGTTTCTTGCAGCTGGATGAAGAAACCTCGATGTGGTGTGCCTGACCAAACAAGAGGTAGCTCCAAATTTAACATTCGTCGGAAACGCTACGCGTTAACAGGACAGAAATGGCAACACAAACATATCACTTACAGGTACTGTCATGGTTTGACCCGGAAGTAAGGTTTTGGGAAGTTATGATCAAACCAATCAGTGGCCAAATTTTAGATTGGCACCTGGTGTGGCCACTGGGGATGTGGATACGCCTCTGAGAACACACAGGGGTTAAAAGCAGAGCACTCCCAGAGAGACTTCTCTCTTTGGAGTCCGGCAGGTGAGCAGATCGGATCCTCTCCCCTGCCCAGCTGTGTCTGGGTGGGGGACAGGGCGGAAGGCCTGCGGCCAGAGAAAGGGATCATTTTGAGGAATACACCTCTCATGGGGGCACTGGCACTGTGCCAGAGTCAATCCATGACAGGTACCAAAGATATTCCTATAGGTATACAAATGTCACTAACAGTGATGACTTTTCATTTAAAGTAAATATAAATTCCTATAAATAATTGAATATTTATAAAATATAAATAAATAAATATAATTGAATGTTTTTCAATACTTAGAGAAGTTTATTATTACTGTATGATATAAAAGTGCTAAAAGTGCTAAATGGATACCTCCTATAAGTACATATGTGGTGCATAAGAACCAAGTCGTTTTCCTGGATTAAAATTGCATGTATTTAGTAGCCAGTAAATTCTACAAAGCTTACAACATCAATTAAACACCCAGTACTTCCTTAGGGCTACCTTTCAACTTTCTTGGCAGCTGCTCAGGGAATAATGCTCTGAATCTAGGAGTGCTGTAATGAAACTCAGATTTCTAATTTAAATATGTAAAATAGGGTATTGGAAGGAGTCAGTCTCTACAAAATGTAGGTGCCTCTAGGTCTGTTCTAAGCACAAATTAATTTGATTATAATTTGATGAGTCACTGACCCAACTTTTTCCAGTCTAGGTGATGAAGGGCATAGGACCTGTGCAGGGCAGTACATCTGTATAACTCCTGAGTCTGGAACGTAGTTAGCACAGTGTGCCTGCTGTAAAAACTGAGGTCTTGGAGGGAAAGTTAGATAGAAACTTTCAAGATGTACTCACTAGAGCTCTGTCAGCCAGAGAAAGTGTCATCATGTATATAACATAAAATTCATAATCTGTCTGCAAACCAAGGATTCCAGTAGAAACAGTTGGAAAATTTACACAGCCTTATAATGGAGTCTTGTAATTTCTACCAGGGGTAAGTTCAGAGGGATAAAATAGTTTTCAAATTCATTAACTGGTGCCATTGTTCATGAATCCATACAGATATTAAATTTAAATTTCGTAAGCCCTAATTGTCGTGTAGACTGTTCCTCATAGCCTGGTGAAGATATAGTTTCATTAGTAACCCTATGTCACCACTGTGGTTTATAACTGAATTAGAGAATTCTAGTTTAAGACATTACATTCTGATGTAATATCAAGCAATAGACAACTTGGGGTTGGTAAGTTGCATTGGTTCAAGTCCTTTATTGTTAATGTAAATGTAATTTATAGTTGGTTAGAATAAAAATGCCCACCTACAGCACTTTACATCTATTTGCATTTTATAATTTAAATGCAGTGTGTGAACACTTAGGAGGCATGAGTAGTCATCTACTCATATGTGTGGTTTTCTACCACTCTGATTTGTACAGAGTTTGATTCCCTATTTCAATACAGGATTTTTTTACAACAGTCTAAATCCTCCCCTTATATATTTTCAGGACTGTCACCCAAGGCATTAATCCAAATAACAAATGAAGGTGTCCAGTATTAAACTAAGTGACAAGTATCTAGTAATCTTTCTCACTGTGAAGAATTTGTAGCAGTTCTTTATCTCCTGCCTCCCCCCTTTGAAAATGTTATCTCTCTCACTTTGACAAGTCCTCCCATCAAACAGAGCTTTGAAGTGAATAAGTAATATTTTCTGCAATGAACGTACGAAATACATTTAAAATAGAAACCCTAAATTTGATTAGAATAAAAAAGTTGTTATATTATCTTTTTGAATTATAAAATAACCCAAAGCAAATAAAGACAAAAAAAAAAAAAAAAGAACTAAGATTCTTTTCACATTTTTCACCAATTCCCTGCTTACAGGCTTGTGACATGTATGAATGACATTTTAACCTGCTTTGTTTCCTAAAATTTTAATCATATCTCTAGTATCATTTATCTGCTCCATTTTTCTCTGTGCCACTCCTCAGTCTCTTTATAACCTGCAGGTTTCCAGCTGCATTCTGTGCTTTCCTGGCTGGTTGAACCTTGCAGTCTGAAGTGTACTTGTTAAGCCAGTTTACTAATTCCTCCACAGAAAGAGCAATTTCTCCTTCATTTCAGTGCATGATACAGTTTACAATGTTTTGGAAACTAAAACCAAAACCCCACAACAAATACTTCCAAAAGCAAGCTCCCCACCCCTCCGTGCCCTGGAACTTTTACCTATTTTCAGCATGTAATTTTTCCACCTGAAACAATTCTGCAATATTTCAAGATAGAGTTTCAAAGAAGCGACTTAAAATTATAGTTATAATTAGAAGTTACATTAATAGTGTATTTTTCCCCATATTACATTTTGAACATTTATTATGTCCTTTTGGAAACATATTAAATTTTGGACTTAAGTGATATTTATTCTTAGAACCAAAATACAGATTTCCAGTATTGGGAACATTAGCCTGGAATATGCAATGTGCTGCATTAATTATGCCTGCTCTCCCTCAGGGAATGCAGCTTTCTTCTCATTTGAACTGATGTGTGATGTTTGTTACAATTTCTGTTTCCAATGAAATTGCCCAGTTTACAGTATTTTTCTGACCAATATAGTTCATGCTGATCAACCTTGTGAATATTATTAGTACACATGTTATAGAATAATATCACTTTTACAAAGAAACAGAAAGTAAGTATTTGAAACTTTTTACCAGCCAGAAGATTATAGGGGTTAAAGAGAACATCTAGGGTACAAGAGAATTATGACTCCACTACAGAAAAAGCTACAGAGGTCTTAATGATATACTCTTAATCTTTCCTTAGTATTTTAGGCTATGTCAGATTATGCAACGATCTCTGAACATGGTACAGAATCAGAGAAGAAATTTAAGAAAGCTATGAATGGATTTTTAAAAACTAATGTTTTAAAAAAAAATTAAGGGGGCATTTATGAAGGCACATATGATTCTCAAAAATATAGTCACCTTCTCTTTTGCTAGAAAAGTAAATAATCCAGTACTTTAAAGAAGGAGCAACAATATGAATCAACAAAGTTATCTGTTTTGTAAAAATAGAACATATAAATGTTTATATGTCCATTTTAGACAGGGAATCATTGAATATGAAGCCCTCCTCATCAGAATTCCGTGCATACTATTCATAATCTGAACTCCAGCAGTCAGTGATTTCTCAATTGCCCAGTCATTTCTGAATTGCCCAGATTATTCTATCTGCAAAATGCTTTTGCAAGTAAAATTGGAGAATGTTCTGTAAAAATAAAAGATTTCTCTTGATTTATAATTATAAGTATATATGAAGTTGGAACTATGAGTTAGAACTTGTAACGATTTACAATAAAATAATAATTGAAAAGCTACTCTGATTTATTTTTTCATGCTTAAGTAAGGAAAAAAAACCCAAATTCAATCAATCCGCAATATGTAATAATTTAATTGGTGCAGGAAACTTAGCTGTAGATAGTCAATAGCTTCATCCCAAACCCACTATAATTAATTTCCTATTTTTCTTGGCTTCAGTGGACAATGGGTCAAGCCCCAGATAATTGTCATTTTCCTTTTACAAGTTAGATACATTCTAGATTTCATTTCTGAAAGAAGATGAAAGATTTGAAGAGGTCTAACTTTATGCTGTTCAGATAAATGAATGAATGCTAGCTGGGAGCTTCAGTATGCAATCAAAAGTCTTATCTGGCTTGTTAGCAATAGACTATGCAATTTCTATTTTCTAAATGGTCCATATTGTGTAGAATATGGAGAGAGAATTTCTTGGATATTTGAAATTCACTCTAAAAAAATAAGGAAATACTGAATTAAGAAAAAACTTTGAAAATCCTGTTGATTCATAGTAGCAAAAATTGTTTTGAATGTATTAATACAAAGTAATATTTAGAACATATTCCAAGGTTATGTTGCATTTTATTGACTTGAGTTACCTAGTAGCATATTATGACATCAGATTTCTTAACATAGCTTTCCTATAAAAACATTTGACTGTCAAGTATTTTGCTAATCTTGGGTTTTTGTCTCGGAAATCTCATCTCTTTCATGTTTCATCTTCTTTTAATGAATGTTGAGGAGAATATTATCCATGAAAATGAAGAGGCAAGTTAATTATAAATTCTTTCAATCATGGCAGCAGTAGGTTGAAAATCAAACCCACAGAAAATCAAAAGTAATAGTTCTGGTTTACGTTTAATCAATGTGAGCAAGAGCTATATGAGCCAAGATAGTACTCTTAGTCTATAGCTACAAAGAATCAGCAAACTGAAACGGGAAAAAAGTTGAAGCTAAAAACCTCACATCAGTTTGAGATTAGTGAAGCAACTTCACCGAAACCAATTTCTAGAGAAATTATGGTGCAAAGTGAAATATGGTTTTGGCCAGAGGTAATTTATTACTTTCAATAAAATTTGTAGTGTGATTAAAAACCACCCAACCAATCAACCAAAAAAAAAACCAAAAACAAAAACAAAAACAAAACAAAACAAAAACAAAAACAAAAAAAACACCAAAACAAACAAACAAAAAAAACCCACCAAAACAACAAATAAACCCCCAAAGTTTTGGTTCAGTTTAGGTTTGATTTACATCAATGACAACAAAAAGGTTGTGTTAACAACTTATTCACATTTAATGTATGTGTCAATTCATTTTACTTGAGCAGTTTCATATCAAGAACAGATCTTAACTAGCTTACTTCAAACAGATTATTGACTGCATCTTTTTACCTACTCAGTTGAAATTCTGCTCTTCCATCTATTTAAATTTCAGATTACTGATTTTACACAGTCAAGTGAGGTATATCCTGACAATCTTGCAAGGCTCCTGAAGTTGATGCAGCCAAAAATATGTCAGTGAAACATGTATGATTTTTCTTTTAGGATATTCTGGGAAAGGAGTGGGAAGGGAAGGGAAGGAAAACCCAAAGCTTTTATGAAATCAATAGGACTCAGGATTCTAGAATAACACTTTCAAAACAAGACTCTTCAGGCAGCTGTAGAAATAGTACATGAATGTGAAAAGTGCATATCAGTGAAAAAATCTAATTGTTCTTGTGGAAGACATGTGTTTTAAAGTTATAATGCTTGACACAACTATTAGGTTGAAAATCATGCAAAACCAGCAGTGATAACCACAAAAAAGCATAATCAATTGATATGTGGCTGGGGTTGTCTAAAAATAACAGCTCTCAAAATTTATAAAAATTATCACTCAGTTTGTTAGTTCATAAAAAATGGCATGAAAATAGATGTTTCATTTTATAAATTGCCTTTTTTTTTAGTAATTACAGGATCTTCAACCTCTTTGTAAAGTTGCATTGCCAGTCTAGTCAAGGTCAGCTTTGGATCTTTCTCTCATTTGAACTTTGCTGTGAAATGATCACTAGACACTGAGGCTAGGAAAGCAATACTTAGAAAAAACATGGATTTTTGTTATGAAGGGCTTTGTCTTGCTATGCTTTCACCTTGCAATAAGAGTGGTTCTGAGTTGTCACATCCTACACTTACTTCTGTTTGAGTTCCATTATCTAGACATGTTGTGAGTGTAAGATACCCAATTCCTGTCTTTTTTTTTTTTTTTTTTTTTTTTTTTTTTTTTACTCTTGTGGAAGTTACCACTGTTTCAGGTGATTGCTGGATTTAAGTTGTGGATCTAAATAGGAAAGGGTTCATATGAGACATTATTTTCTATTGCAATCATAGGTCTAAACTGAAGACTTTTAAAAGATGAATCCTAGTATCTCTGGTAATTGGCACACTGTCTTTGTGGTTTGATTTTACTGTACTTCCCCCTTGGAGGTTGTATGATAAACAACATGAAAAATGTAACATAACTTGGGTTTCAGATATCTGCACTGGTAAATTATTTTAAGCAAAGTTCCCAGCAAGACAATTTCAATGTTTGTGTTGCTCTTTTACGATTGAACCTGGATTGTGTTTAACACATTAAAAGTGGACAGTTGTTTTCTGTAAATACTCTTGTATAGGAATAACTGCTGATTTGTGTAATTTCTCTTTCAAGCTACACTTTTCAGTATAATCTTGCCCACTCCAGAATGTTGGTTTGGAAGCCAGAAAGTCTCTCAGGTTTTAACAGAGAAAATATGCTTTGGAAAAAATATTACTTTACAATGAATCTGGAGATATAGAATGCTATTTCAAAAGTAAGTCAATAGCTGAATCCCGTGGAAGATATCTGCTATCAAAGGTAGTGTACTTGAGCTTGCAAGTGTGAAACTAGCACAATGGCTCAATTTCTCATTTGTAACCTGATTAAAACTTCATTCAATGTGCTGGAAAAGCAAGAAAATGTAAAATGATAAGTTTTAACATTTGAGTCAAACCCTTTTAGACAAATTAATTACTCAATTTACCATCAATACAAAATTCCAGTCTATTTTTATCCATTTCCTCATTTCACATATAATAGCAGAAGACCCTTCTTCCGTTTACTAAATACCAAAGTGGGACTTTGACCAATTACTAATATTCCTAAATAAAAAAATAATAAAAAAATCAAACAAATAAATAGATTTTAAAAAAACCCAAATCCCAAGCTGTATATTTCAGGTAAACTTTTTCTATACCAATATTTCCATTCTTTTAGACATGCTCTGTTTTCTATGAGAGCCTCTTGATTCATTTGCCATATTTCTTATATACGTGGCAAATAACAGAGGCTGTAATCCTTCAAAGAGCTCTGCTTCAGGCCATACATGTGCCTTAGGGAGCACACAGCAGGACTGACTGAGAACACATCTGCCAGCTTTGTAAGGGATATTCTCAGCATAGCAACAGTGAAGTTTTTGGTAGTGGCAGTGTAAGTGTGCCACTGTGATGTGTTTTTGATTTTGTGTCACGGGACAGGTTCCAAAATGGTGTACTTTCTCAGGGGGCACAAACAGCAGTTTATGCACTTGCTAATTAAAACATCTCAAAAACCCCTAATTCTCAAAGGCAGGAGTTTTCAGAGAGGGGTTCTGCAAGGGCTGATTATTGGTACAGCCTACCCAATATTTTTTTAATCACAGAAAATGCAATGCAACACTGATCATAAAATTAGTGATGAACAAATAATTATGAAGGGGTATCATAGAAAGCACTTTAAATCACATGACATTGACATCATGTAGAATAAGGTGATGCCTACAGATCAGAGGATATTTTCTCTCTGACAGCATGATCAGTACTGCAGTATTTTATAGTTGTGACAGAGCACTAAAAGATATAGTTGTAAAAAATATAGTTGTAAAAGAGCATTAAAAATTGGGTTGAGTTGAATAAAAATCACAGAAAATTTTCAAAAGACTGGAGAAAATGTCTTATAACCTGAGATGTAAAGAGTTCAAAATTTTAACTTTTCAGAGGCAAAAAAAAAGATAATGACTTTGCAGTGCAGAAGTATCTTTTAAATATCTTTGTGTATAGGGGAAAAATTTAGAAGCTCATGTATGTGGGAGAGAAAAACAGAAGGAGAACCAATAATACAAGCCAGGTAATTAATAGAATAGTAACAAGTATTAATTGCTTGGTTAAATCACCTTTGGAACAAAAGATCAAGGAAAACAGTGGATTCTCTACAATGTATTATCTTATAATTTCTGTTGATATCTCTCTGGGACATATATACCAGCTAAAAAATTCTGCTTTGGTTAGACAGCACTATTGGACTCAATACATTGAAATATTTTTTGAGTGGAAGTCTAAATATGTAACTTTATGTTTTCTACATAAAGCTATAAAGAAAATGTATATATGAAGTAAAATCTATAAAATTACACTTGAAATATTTATTTCCATTTATATAAACATAAATACCATATAATCAAGCACATTTAATGCACCAAACAAATCAATCATTCATGGTTTATTCATGAAAATGTATTTGTTCTCCTTTAATGTGCCATGCTGTGTAAACTGGCAAAAATATTACTTATACTCTAGAACAATGCAATTTCTGAAATTTGTGCTGGACATTCAGTCAAGCACATATCAAATGAACAAAGGGAATCTGATTGCAGCAGTTTCAGAGCAGGCACAAATCTTAGAGTTTTTGCTGCCCATATGAATCGAGTGGAAATGATGCAGAAAATTGGATAGGTCTGAAATTGATTATTGACATTCATTTCTTGAATTCAATAACAAAAACAAAGATTTTTTTAAAAAGTTAATTTCACTATAATTTACTAACTATGAGAGTAAACTTGAATTCTGATATTGTTTTGCCTTTTCATGTGTATGTAACTTGAAGAAGTAAAGGAGACTGAAATTTCTTTTTAATACATATTCTTGAGTTAGCATATAATTGTCTGCTATAAAATGATGTCTCTGATGGATTCTATAGTGTTATGCAAGATTTACATATGTAATCAGATCATAAAAAGACATCTTAGCCTGTCAAAAGGCTTTGTTTCTGATAAGGAATTTATCCAGTTGCAAATGCAACAAGGTTTTGTGAATGCTGGTTGGTGGTCACAGTATGGAGTTCTGCTTTTGTTAATGAACTCACTAATAAGTAAAAAATTCATTTAACTAAAAACATTTTTCTTTTGATCAAAAAGAACATGACATTCTTTAGCTGTGAGGGATTCTAATTGTGGTCCAGGAGGTAAACAGTCAGTGGTTGATTAATCTGGTTATCCCACTGTTAAGAATTTTTCATTTTAATATATTTTAAATGTTCTAAATATAATATTCTTTGTACTGCTGGGAGTGAGCCAGCTAACATAATAAGTTCTAGCTTAAAGGGCTATACAGATTGACACCATAATTTTGCACCAGCTTGTTTAAAAATACTCTTCCTAAAGTATATAATGCCAGACTAGCATGTTTTATTAAAAGCACAGGGCTTATAATAATCAGTGGAAAATGGTTATTAGCAGTGTCACTTACCACTGTCAAATTTAATCTATGTAATGTTTCTCTGTTTCTTTCAGCATAAAGAACGTCACTCCAAAAGTAGGTGATGCTGAAACTCGTAAAGCCATTCGCCGTGCCTTCGATGTGTGGCAGAATGTAACTCCTCTAACATTTGAAGAAGTTCCTTACATTGAATTAGAAAATGGCAAGAGAGACGTGGATATTACAATCATTTTTGCATCAGGTTTTCATGGAGACAGTTCTCCCTTTGATGGGGAGGGAGGATTTTTAGCTCATGCATATTTTCCTGGCCCAGGAATTGGGGGAGACACTCATTTTGACTCAGATGAGCCATGGACTTTGGGAAATCCCAATCATGATGGTAAGAGAAGATCTAATTTTAAACAAAATAGATAAATGGCATGAATTTTCAGCTAACAGAACTGTTCCCTGTTCCCCTGTTCCTAAAGTCACATGGTTTTCTTTCCTTGGTTAACATTACTTTAGAAATATATTCGGTTGATCACTCTCTTTGAATCCAAGGCTGAAAAGTGTCTGTCTGATTGTAGTACAGTATGAAAACATGTTTTGCTTGAAAAAGATTCAATTCCTATTAGGAAACTTCATGATCATTCAAACACTGTATTGGTGAATATTTACTTAAACTACTTCAGTTTTGCATTTTTTAGCATGTCAAACTTATTTAGGTTTAGGGGAAATGTGGAACATTTAGCAGTGATATAAGAACGACTTCAGCTATCCACCAGTTCTGTGGATACTAATGGACATAAAACCTAGTCTTCAGTTTGCATCTATGAGGAAGCAGTGGCAGCATTTAAAGGCAAATCTTAAAGATGCCGTTCCAAGAGCAGAATTGGTGTTTCCCCAAAACTTCTGAATGTCTTTTGCAGTTGTTGATTTTAACATGTCCAATTTAATTAAGTAGTACATTCCCCATAGTCAAATAAATAACTGCACAGTGCAGTTTACATACCTATCATTTACCAAATAAAGACTAAATATACCCTTTGTTCTTCACAACTAAAATCTGGTCATTGCCAAGCATCTCTCCAAAACAGTATCAAAGAAGAGATTTTCTGTTGACATATTCTGTGTTTGATGCTGTGACGCCTTTTGTTTCCAAGCAGCTTCAGGTTTTCATGGTAGATCCCTCTAAGCTAGTTGCGTGAAGTTTGAGACATCTCTTCAGAGATGCACAAATAGGATGTTTCTGGCATACAAAAGATGATAGAGTTGGCAAGAAGTGGAGAACTATTGTATTTCAATGTTACAGTGAATTTGTGAGTGATGAGAGGCTTTATCTAATTCCTTTTCTTTCCCCTTCTCACCTGAGATCCTCCAAGTAAAATTTAGAGCTTTTTATGTGGCAGTATTTGTAGCCTGGGTTCTGCAACAAAACCATAATTTAGCATTTTAGGAGAATAAATATGGTGTTGTGACTATTTCATTGGTGCAATACTTCTGCTGTGCCAGTCAGTTGAAGCCAGAGCTGTATAAGGCACTGTAAAAGCCCTCAGTTGTGCAATGGGTTCAAGACATTTCATTCTTGTGAAACAAGCCCTCCTCTTACTGGAGCAAAAACTGTGGTATTGCACAGCTCATATTTGCCTTCTTCACACGTTTAGCTCAAAGGAGCTCTGGTGGGAGTCCTCTGTGCAATTCAGGTACACAGTCAGTCACAGCATTGTGAGGGTAAATGAAGGTGATTTCGTGTGTCTAGTTTTGTGTTGGTTGGAGACCAACACTGCACATGATGTTCAGTGGTTTTGGAGCTATTGCTTGAAGCACTCAGGAAAATCTTCAGGCATATGTACAATGAAGTCAGGATGTCAGTTTAATTGGGATAACTCTTTTGGAGCAGTTCCACGCCTTGTATGAAAGTGAATGAACTTCTGGCTGTCTCATTCTTCTTTAACTTAAACAATTTTCATATTGCCAAATGGCACTTATTTCTTTATAGGCCTTTTGAGGTTTGTGCTTTGTAGAGCAGTTTTAAAAAGCTATTGCTTGTATTGATATATTTTAATTTAAAAAATCAAGGGAAAGTAAATTGATGCTATCATTAAAACTGTGATTTTATGTATCTTAGAACTTTAAACTTTTATCATAAAAAGGCTTGCTATCTATATCACAAAGGTTTAAGAGTTATGATTGGAATTTTTTCGGCAATTTAATAACTTGTGTACTTTGGTGTGCTTAAATATACTTTTTTGAGGGACACATGTTCCTGATAAAATCGAATACTCAAAGTAAAAATGGAAGATTTTTTTGAAAATACATGATAGTTAATTAAAATATCCTGCCAATGCAAGTTGTCTGAAGAAATTTGGTAACTGCTAGTTTCATTGTTGACATGGTGGGAACTGTGGATCATAGGTCATAGTTGTTGTCCAGGGAAAACTTCTCTGTCATTGTAGCCCTAGAAACGTCAATTGATATACATTTCATCTGAAAATGCAGGGCACCTGTTTTTTTGATTGGTGACTTTTAGCTGTTCAGGTAGGCCAGGTTTCCTCATTGTCTTACTGATTAGCTTGTGTTTAGGAATCCTGGAAGATCATGCTGGTTTTGGGGTTTTTGGTTTTGTTTGGGTGTTTGGTTGTGGTTGTTGCTGTTGTTGGGTTTGGTTGTTTTTTTTTTTTTGTTTGTTTGTTTTTTTTTTGTTTTTTTTGTTTTTTTGTTTTGTGTTTGTATTTGGTTTGGGGGTTTTTTGTTTGTTTTGCTTTGTTGTTGTTTGGTTTGGTTTATTTTTTCGTTTTTTTGGGGTTTTTTGTGCCTGGGAAAAATTTCCGGGGGAAAAAAAGACAAGCACACTATTTGGGATTGACAGGAAAGAAAGACTTACAGCTCTCTTAGGCTTCCTGTCATTTTGAGCTGAGTCTCAGAACACGGAAAAGCAGAAGGTTGAAAAATATATATGTGATCTTAGATATGAGTCATTTTTCCCAGGTGAGTGTCAGTTTTAAGATTCATTGCTCCAATAGTCCAATAGTCACCTTCTTGTGGTATTATCTGAAATCTGGTAGAATGGGAAAAAGATTTGATGATTTATTTTTATTTTTAAACTAACTCTCACCCCAAGGGGCTGATTTTCTCTCATTCCTATTCCAGTATCCCAGAGAGATTCAAAAACACAGAGCAACTTGTTTGCTTAGTAGCAAGAATGCAAAAATAAGGTCCTTTTGAAAAATCCTAGCCTCATTCTTCCCCTTGTAATGTTCTAATGAAAACAGTTTATATGTCATCTACCTCAGAAAAGACAGGCAACTTAATGAATTGCTTTCATAAACTGTTGTCTTTTCTAAAGTAATTTTCATTCCAAATAAGGGATCATATACAAAATCAGTGTTCTGATTATAGTTAATTACTACAGCAATTTATTCTGACTACTTAATTGCAGTGTCTTCATACTTCAGGTTTTTGGTTGATTTGGTGGGTTTTTTCTTATCACATTTTGTCAATTTTCTTATATTTTTCTTTCATTTAATCATACTCTAGACTCCAAGGACAGTTGCAATAGAAATACACCATCTCCAGCTCATTGCTGCTTTCCTTTGTTCTCACTTCAATGGTATGTTCTTATCAATCGTGTTCTGTGACGAGATTTGTGCTTTGACTCCTCCCTCATCCTGAAGAATGAATGAGCTTTTGTAGGAGTAAAGACTAATGGGCCCATCACTCAGGCAAAAAAAACCCTCCTGTCATACAATTTTACACTTGCAGGCTTTCTACAGGCTTATACAAGGATATATTTCTTTGCTTTCATAATACCCTGTAAGAAGAGTACAGCTAGTACCTCAACTCCAGCTGAGCTGTGGAGGTCTTTTCTCTGAATTTCCATCCATGGTGCTGCAGGTGATCCTAGAAATATTGTCAGAAAGAAGGACAATAGACTTCACATCACAGGCAAGCAGTGGAAGCAAGGACAGAATTTCTTTTGTCAGGGGATGAGGGAGATACAGGAGGATAAAATATGGTGCGCTTTTTTTTTTTTTTAATAAGGAAAAGCAACACTATTCTTTCAACACTTTATACAAAGTGTGTGTATTGGACTGTAGATGTCTGTCCCTTAGTCAGCTCCCATCTTCTGGTTTCCCATTTAGCAAAACTACTTTTCAAGTTCCCATGGGAGTAGGCTGTTTCACTTACAGTAGACTCCATTTCCTTTATGATCTGCCTATCTAGACTTCAGGTGAGATAAGAGCCTTAGCTCTTGAAATTATTTGGAACAGGATGGTTTTTTCATGCACCTTACGAAGTATCTTGCACTCCTATGCAGTCTCAATTAAAACTCAGTTATTCTGGTAGTGCTTGGCAAATACAGAAGAACAAGAAACACTCTTCAGGAACAGCAAATCAAAATGGATGGGATTTTACAGGAAAATGTTTCACAATATGTGCACTTAAAGATGTAAAAATGTAAAGGGATAAACAGGAAATTAAAATCATGCTGCATAAGTAGCTGAAAAATCATCACTTATTAGTAAAAAATGAAATCCTTATTTTCTTTTGAACTTAAAAACTGTAAACAAAACAAACAAACAAAAAACAGTGAAGAAAAAAGAAAGAGGAAGAAATCTTAATATAGCAGCCTTGAAATTAGGGAGGAATTTCCTTTTTCCCATGACTCTAATCCATTTAGGTGATATATATCCCCTCATTGTTTTCAAATTAAAAAATTATGGACAATGAATGATGTATTAAATCCAGAAAGTGACAATGACTTCTTCCTAGGAGTGGTAGGACTTTGGAGATATTGCACTGTCAAAACCCGCAAAAAAATATTTTTCAAGTATTTTCTTCGATGGCAATATTTCAAATGACTGTGATGAAATTCAAAGTCACTGCAAGGCAGCATCTCAGATAGGTACTGTCTCTATACATTTTCTAGTAGCTTGAAGAAAAATGCTGTCTTACGTCCTGTTTTTCTGTACCAAGTCTGAAAGGGGCATCTTATTAGCATTACTGTACTGGTTTATCAAAATTTATTTCACACTTGTCTGTCTACATGTACTTAAGTTAGTTTAAACCTTTTTTAAAGCAGTTATTTTTTTCTGGGAAATCACTGAATGCATCTAAACCTATTTAAGGGAGTGTTAAACCAGTTTAAATTGAGAGTGCACTACATTTAACTAGATCAATTTAAGATTGACCTACTTGCACAAGTGCAGCTTTTTTAAAAAGGGCAAGATTTAGAAGAAGTGCTTGGGGAAAACAAGGATTTCTTGGGAGCTTAGCTTTCAAGCACATTAGACATGATATATAATGTACCAATTACTGGATAAAATGCGACCACAGAACTGTGTCTTCCAGCAGCAGAAAATATTTGGCAAAAACTAAGTGTTCATAAACACAGTAGAT